ATATATATATATATATATATATATATATATATATATATAATTTCACAATTTCACTTTCCTTTTCTCCCATAAGTGTTCTTTACAAGCAGATTAGCATGCCCTATTAACGTATAGATCTTCCTGATGGCATCTGAATTATATATGAAATGTTTTGTTGATCTTTCTTAATTACTTATATATTAATTTCACACACACACACACAATTCAAATATCAGTGGGAGAACGTGCCTTACAAAACAGTATATTGCATGGGTGATGAGAGGATTTCACGGCCAGTTCAAACAGGAAGGCATCATTAAATTAATCTCAGAGGGATCACAGGTAGGCATGAAGCCAAGTCAAAGGTCCCAAGCTAGAAAGCCAGCCTTACTCATGCATCAAGCATGAGAGGCTATGCAAGCAGGTAGAAAAGAGTCAAAATTCAACAATAAGATAGGCATAAATATAAAAAGGTAAAAAGGAATAACATTATAAAATGGTAAAGAACAGAACTGAATTCAAAAATATTAAAATTTAAAAAAAGAAACAAAAAAGAAGAAAAACAAAAAAGGTAAACAAAAAACTAAAAAAAAACCCAAAAAATAAATAAAAAAGAACAACAACAGAAAAAGAAATATTAAAATTGGGTAAGAACACAATTCAATGAATATTAAATTTTGCCAGGGGAATGGTTGTACACAGTTTGGCATTTTCTGGGCTAGAAGTAACCATTAAAGGACTCCTGTGCATCTCATTGTATCTGAGACTCTCATCTGACATTCACTTTCTCACCTGTGTACATTTTCCCTCTGCTTGGTGAACATAAGGTATTCTGCTTTTCTTTTTTTCTACCAGTGTTCACTTCTCAGTTTCCTGCATGGATAACATTTTTTGTTCCCTCTTTAAAAGTTCGTATTCCCTAGGGTTTGGGATTTTTTTTTACTCTACATACCTTCCTCAGCTAATTTTATATGCACCCATATCTTTACTATTGGGTTGTCGGAAAAGTCATGACGCATTTTTGCAATGCAAATCATAGAAAAATATGTCATGACTTTTCCGATAACCCAATATTTATTGTAAGAGAAACAGGACTTTTTTACTTTCTCCCCAACATCTTCCTAGCTCCTTCTCCATCCAAGTCTTGATAAATTAAATGATCATATTTTAGTATATCATTTGGGTAAAAGTATAGGAGTCATTCACAAAAATGAGTGCTTTCCCCCTGTTGATATGAGTCAGTATGTGTGTTGAACTTTGGCTAAAATTCAGTATATGTGCTGGGAAGAAAATAGTAAGAGCCTGCAATTTGGATTCTAGCTTGTAATACGGTCAAGCTAGAGACTCTGCCTCAGGCCTGTATGTAAAGACTGCAGTTTTGTGACCAACACCTTTACAAGAGCCCTGAGTATTTGGGCGCAGGTACCTAAATGGGGTGCTGAGAGGGAATAAAAAACCTAGTCACTCCTAGGTTTCTAGCCTGAAAATGATGAATGCTGACACAAGTTACTGGGAAGGGGAAGACTAGGAAGACTAGGTGAGTATGAGGGGTATTCTGTTTCAGATATGTTTGTTATGGCTGACATGCCTACTAGATACTAAAGGAAGATACTGAAACAGTTGCATATATTATTTTGGAGATTTGGAGGTCTTAACTACAGTTAGGTATTTGGGAGTCTTCTGTAGTTAAGTTTTATTTAAAGCTGAAGAACTAAAAGAAATCACTCAGGCACTACAACATTAGAAGTCAAGAAGAGGAAGAAAATCAGAAGAGTAGGATGTTCCAGAAGACAAAGGGAAAAAGCACTTCAGGGAGGTGTGAGTGATCAACTTTGGCAAATAATCTGAGAACTAAAAACTTAACCCTAATTGTGCCAAGATGGAGGCTGTCTGGAATTCAATAAGTGCTTTTTGTGGAATAGTAAGGAAGAAAGCCCCACTGGAATACACAGAAGACACAATGGGAGATAAGAAAATAGAAACACCAAGTATAGAAATGCTTTTTGCAAAGTTTTGTTTAAAGAACAGAGAAATGGACATGGGGAGTTTTTATTTTTTAATGGGAGTGCTTATAGCTACAGAGGTCCACACCAATACTGGAAACTCATCTCAACTGTACTCTCAAGTGCCTATGCCTTGGTCCTGA